GGCGGATACGGAAAGAGAGAGTGACCGTGCACACACGTCTGTCTGCGGGATCTTTTCCTCCACTCGTTCGTTCTCGTCTCTCTCTCGTTGGAGGATGTTCGACGATGCTTGGTCGAGTTAATTTTTGGAAAGGATTTAATCGTGTTTGGAGAGAAACTCGAGGGAACACGTTTCGTTTGAAATTGGCAGAGTAATCGTGATATGTTTTGGACCTAATTTTTGTTATTTGTTTATTTATTTTGATCTAACTATGGGATTTTTAGGTTGATCAAGAGGACACGCGACACGCTTCGAGAACACGTTATCACCTTTATCACTCAACGATTCTTTTAACACACGTTTCTGTCACACACTTCGAACCCCCGGAGAGTATCACACTTCACAATCACGTTATACACAATTCGAACGAATCTTTCCTAGAAATCCTGCACTAGATTAACCTTGTCGATGAATCCACTTTTCCAACAATCGGATCGATGAAATCGACCGAGTGCAACGACGGATGCTTTCTCGTCGGGGTCATCTTCTTGTCATGTATGTATATATGCCAAAGTGTGGACGATTATATATACTTCCTCCATTAAAGCACGTAGTGATCAAGGCTAATCAACCCGTTTCGATATTACAACGATCTGGAAAGCGGACAGGTTTATCATCAAGTTTCAATTATTTCGCTCGGCATCTCGTTCTCTGCCTCCTTCAAAATCGTCGAGTGGAACGAATTCGATAATTAATTGCGCGGGTTTGTTATTCCATCGTCGCTTCGCATCAAGACACTCTAGCAGCAGCGACCTAACCTAAGGCGCCTCTCGCACCACGTCGGTGACACACTTTCCCCGTCTCTTCAAACCACTTCTCAACCTCGCTTGGTCGATTCCTGGTCCCACCACCACGTTTCCTTCCTTCCCAGCTATCTCGAAAAAGAGACAGAGATCAATCGTAAGCTTGCATTGAACGAGGGCTCGTCACGAAAATCGTTTCGAATTCCTCGACGAGACGAGGCACGACCTCGACCCTTTTTCCTCCTCCCCTTTCCTCCTCCCTTTCAATACACCCGACCACACTCACCACGCACTACTCTACTCTACCGCATTCGTAAATCATTCACACGCTTCTCCGATCACGCGCAGGACCGTGCCACGTACACGAGGAATAAAATAAAATACCGTCACCACAACTCTAACCAGCTCCACCACTATCCACCACCAAGGCGCGACTATCTTATCACGGTTTGTATATTCATATATCTCCCTCTCTCGATAGAGGGTTACTCCACGTCCATCCAGCGTACGTTTATTTCGCGATCGATCCGTGGCTCGTGGCTCGGCGTACGCCCCATTTTTCTCGTCGAGTCGAGCCGCCAGAGCTCACCGGTGCACAGAGCTGCCTGCCACGATGGTGGCACCCGCGCGCGACTTAACAGGGACGTGCGTCGTTGGTCGTGGTGGCCGCGTTGCGTTCGATGCGTTGGGATGCACGGAAGAGCGTAGCATGAGCGCCGATTGCGGAGGTGGAACAACCCTCTCGACGGCTCCCGGCTTGATACTGGCCTGGCTGAGAGGAGACGGCTCGGTCGAGACGGTCGGTCGGTCGGTCGGTCGGTTGGCCGACGACGTTGGTGCGACGCCCCCGGCACGACGCCGACGCCTCGCGCCGTTTCCGCGCGCAGGCGCCCCGCTTCGACGCGCAAACGGGGACGAGGAGGGGGCGATGCTCGACGGCCGAGGTTGGACGAGGACGGAGGACTTTGCTTCGAGGGTTGCGTGAGAGGGAGAGAGGGTGGTATAGGCGATGTATGGGAACGAGATTGCTCGCGGCTCTCGCGGAAAATGCTCGGGCTGGAAAAATTGCCGGATGGAACGGTGGGCCCCGAACGATCGAGAAGAGCGTTTCTTTTTTTTTTTTTTTTTTTGCACTGGATGACACTGTGTTCCTGGCCAGACACTGACTTTCTTTGTTTAATTGGGGGTTAGGGGGATGACGGTGGATTTATCGGGTGTTTCGCGCGTTGGCACGTGTTCAGGGGGCTTCGTAACGTTCTGTTGGTCGAAGTTAATTCCGCGAGATTCGAGCACGCGTGAAATGTTTGATTGTCGATTATTGAGCCGAGCTCGATGAGGATGAAGCGTTAGAAATTTGGATTTTGGGAATTTATCAGTAAAGAAATAATATATTGGAATCCCAAAAAGTTACATTTCGATTAAACTAGAAAAATGTTCACTATATTAATCTCGCGTGTAGTGATTTTACAAGAAATCAAATTGTCGTCGGTGATAATTGAAATCGAATCGTGTTCGAAGAAGAAGAAATAATTAAAGAATGGTTGACGTATCAGCTGTTGAGCTGAAAGAAATTGAAGGGATATCAAATTTCACGATGAAGCGTGCCAATAATTCGTGAAATGGCATTGTCTTTCAGAAGAAATTCAACATTTCGAATTTCCAGGAGAGCGTGTCCACGGACCAGCGTGTTATTGTGCAATTTGTACATTTTCATCCGGATATGTATCTACATGAATAAAATAGAACGTTCAGAAATTCGTGATAATAAATTGAAACCCGAAAATGTAATAGAAATCCAGATACGATTTCGTTTAATTAATTACAATTGAGCGATTGTTATAATTCATGCGGAAAATTTGACGTGTATAATTCGTAATTATAAAATACATAAAAATATTTATTTATAAAATATTACTTGATTCTCGATTTCATCGAGTTTATTTATATTCTTGAATATTTCAAGCACGATTTTGAATCCCTTCCAAAACTTGATTAACAAGGGAACAAGACAGTGCTCGTAACGCATCTCGATGATCGTTGAAAATCTTTCAAAAATTAAATAAATATAATAAATGGACAATAAAAATTCATAATAATATTCTCAAAGAAAAATCTCAAAGAAAATTCTCGCATCGCATGGAAGTCATAGCATAAAAATAAATAAAACGAATGCCATGATGATAAAAAAAAAGCCAAAGAGGCAAAATATTTTAATCCTCGAGTTCGATTAATTCGTGCAAGATCGAAATAAGCAATGGCGAATCCTCGTGAAACCACGAGGAACCACAATATTCGAGTTCTGAAACGAGGTGGAAAAACGTCGGGGGTAGGAGGAGACGTGATGGAAGAGAGGGGGTGGAAGAGAGCCAGACCCGACCAAGTGTCCGAATAAGAGTGGTTAGACAGGGGAGGGAAAAGCCGCAGAGGCATCGTACAAAGGTGGGTTTCGGGTAGGTGTCTGGCAGAAGGTGGAAACCGAGGTCCACCACCATCACCACCACCGGCAACAGAGGGCGGCGATGCTGAGAAAGCATGGCACAAGCCCGTGAAAGGCAGCGATCCGCGAGAACGATACAACACGAACGGGCAAGATGGCCAACGTCGTTCTTTCCGTCCTTCTTCTTATCCCTCCCTTCCCTTCAGTCTTTTATGGCTGAAGGGTGGATCCTGGAAAGAGGATCGAGCGGGGAATATTTGCCGAGATATCGTTATCGTTGTCGTCGAGTGTCAATTAGAGGAATCTAGGGGGCTATTAATTAAGCGGGGTAATTTGGGGGTTGGTGGATTTAGCGGATGGTTTTTCGAACGTTGTGGAACAATGGAAGTTTTTGACGATCGTTATCCAGGGCAAGGTGAGAATTTATAGGATAATTTTGCGCCGAGGATTCGATTTTCCATGGGAAATGAAATGATTGTGAAAAGGGTTTAAAGAATTTTAATTTGATTTTAAATTGGATGATTCGGTAATGAAGGAAGGAAATGTTGGAAAGATATTATTTTATCTATTGATTTTCACTTTGAAGAATATAGTTCTCGAATTTAAATAGAATTTATTCCTCGTATTCGATTTACGTATTAATCAAAGCTTTCTAAAGAAAATTCCCTCATAAACACCTGTCTCTCGACTTTCTAAACAGTTTCAACCGAGCTTCTCCCAATAGACTAGCCAACATCGATTATCTTCATCAGCTTTCAACCATCTTCAATGGACCATCACCAACTTTAACAGGCTTTAACAAACTCTAACTCCCCACGTTGCACTTTTGATCCATACATTATTATTATGCCGTCTCTTATTAGTCAAAAATATTTCAAACATTTAAGTAAAATTAAATGTTTTGCTCTACTTTCGATCACAGTGAAGAGGAAGAATTCGACAAAATAATAAAAACAGTCGTGTTTTCGCTTAGATAATCTTATAATTTAATAATCGAATGGAAAGATTCGCATCAAGATTCTTTTTAGAAAGGTATTATCAATTAGAGACTCCAATATTATTTTTATAAATTTAAAATTCTTCTTCGATTAATAATTTTTCCATAAAATTATGTAAGTTAAATTTCTGGTACCAAAAAAAGGTAACATTTCAAATATTTCAATTTATCGTTGAAAATCTGTAAACATTACTCTTATCCACTTATCTTTCAGTATTTAATCATAAAGAGACAGCGATTAAATTTTCCACACTTTGACCTGTTTTCATGCTTTTTGTACCGTTTTGTGTCAAAGAAAAGTTTTACTTGCCCCTACTAATTACTATGGACCATTAGCAACTCGCGTGATACTTTCACTTCTATTCCATTCTCATCTAAACAATCATCGTCCCGAAACTCTCCGAAACTCCTCCACTCTTTCTTCTACGCGATGGAAACTTTCATCGTTGCACGAAA